TTTTTTTTCAACCAGTACAATCAAGTGCCTGATTATTTATTCAGTAATTTATTCAACAAAAGAGTGCCTACACTAAGTTAGTGCTCAAGGATAAAGAGATAAATAAAAACCTTATTCTCAAGGGGCTCACAGACTAGTGGTGGAGTGAAAAGGTCCCAAGTGCATGACATTCATGTGACATAATATCTTTTTAATAATAATAACAATAAAATATTTTTTCCACTGGCACTATTATTTTTTCTTTTCATATTTTATACCTGTCTTTTCCCAGGTGAGTGAGGCAGGGAGAAAGACAGCCTCCCCAGGAGGGTGCCAGTGCTACCATCTGCCCACGATCTTCAGCCAGCCCTGGGTCATAGGCAAGCCCATGCCTGGGGTACTCAGGGAGGTCCCTAACTGGAACCCAGAACCTTCCTGTGTGCTATTGCCTTGCATAGCAGCACGTTGTACTACTGTACCACTGTCTGGCCCCACTGGTTTTGTTTCAGCTTTAGAGAGATTTTTACTATACGGCCCGTGTGCTCCCTGGAGAGACAGAGACAGAGGTAGAAAGTGAGCCATCAGATGGCCACACTGCAATCCCTTCTCCTTCATCCTCCTCTCATGTGTCTGGCCTGAGTTTAAAGCTGCCAGGTCAGGGGCTCGAACTGCAGTAAACCATGTACGAGTCCAACCACATAGCCATTATGCCATCTGCTGGTGGTCCCACCACTGGTTTTTGGGGTTTTTTTTGAAAGATTTATTTAACCTTATTTATTATTGTTACCTTTCTAAAATTTGCTATAAGGTAGAGAGAGAGAGAGAGAGAGAGAGAAAGAGAGAGAGTGAGAAAGCAAGTCACCAGGTTCAGGACTCAAACACAGCTGGCCATGTAGGAGCCCAGTGCCTTAAACACCATGTCCACCCCCATTTATTTTTTAATAAACCCAATTTTAAGTGCCTAATCAACAGACAAATGGATAAATAAAACATGGCATAGATTGTTGGAAAAGTCATAAAGCATTTTTGCATAGAAAACCATGGAAAAATATGTCATGGCTTTTTCAATGACTACACACACACACGCATTAATGGAGTAATCTGTCTTAGGAGAGAAATTCTGACACATGCTCTCTACCGTGGGTGAACTCTGAGGACAGACATTACACTAAGTGAAACAAGCCAGTCACAAAAAGACAAATGTATGCTTGATTATATGAGGTATTTAGAGGAATTACATTTAGAGACAGAAAGTGAGAGGGTGGTTGCCCATTGCTTGGTGCTGGGAGGAGATGGGAATTGGAGTCGTTAAATAGCTGTAGTTTCAGTTTTGCAAGATGAAAGAGATTCCGAATTTTGAATGTACTAAATATCACTAACTTGTACACTCAAAAGTGTTTAAGAGGCTACCTCTTGTGTCACCACAATTTAAGAAGTTCTTGAAGGACTATAACTCTGAGAAGGAGGTATGTTTTATAACCAGACCTCCAATAGGAACTCACAGACATACTGTAAACCAGAGACTGCAAAACAGCACCTTCTACAGTAGCTAACACTGGGAATCAAAAGATTGTACATAACAACCATGGTTGTTTGAAAATCTGGACAATGTGGCGTCATAAGCCAAAGGGTGTCACAGGGCAGCCATCAGCTGAGCACCCCAGCCCCCTCTAGACAGAACACACACTGCGGTTCAATGTCATACCCCACCATGCGTTTGCCCACTCCACTCTTTTCCGTAGCCAGCCAGGATTACTTCCTTGGCACCAACGGATGGTCGGTGAGTCTCCTCCTGCTCAGCGAAGGCTAGTACAGTGGTATCTCCGTCCGATACCACCAAAACCACCTGTGTGGCCCTAGGATAAAACACAAACACTCAAGGGAACCAGCAGTTAGCGTAATGGCTATGTCGCTGGACTCCCACGTAGTCGACCGCGGTTCACGTCCCGGACCCGGTGGCTTAAAACTCACGCCGGGCGCGTGTGCGTGCGTGCCCAAGATCCCGAGAGGAGAATGGAGGAGAAGGGATTGCGGCGTGACCATCCCCCCTGGGGGGGGATTTCTCGCTTTCTGTCTCTATGTCTCTCTCTGTCTGGCGAGCGCACGCGCCCTACAGTGAAAATCTCTCAAAAAAAAAAAAACACAAACACTCAAACACTCAACATTTTGTGTATTTAAGGTACTAAAATAACAAGGTATTAGGTAATTTTTCTGAAACGCTCATCTAAGCCCACACTTCTTCAGTTTAGCCCAAAGGTGTCAGAGGGGAACCAGAGAAAGCCTTCCCGTATCCTTGGGGCTCCAGCCAGAACTCAGCTTTGGTACTGCGGGAACCACTTTAAGATTGATCCAGGCTTCCTGTGATTCCCACCTCACTCCTAAGACATTCGCTCAAGTGTCTCTCCTGAGTCTCAAGGAAAACACCTCTCAAGGATTCACATCAGACCTATCTGACCAAGAGTTCAAAAACTTTGGCACAAACAAAATCCGACATGGTACGAGAAGGCCCTCACTGCCACCCCGAACCACTTTTACCCTTCCAGGCACAGCTGTGGTCGTGTGCAGGTTGAAGGGCTGTCGCATACGGAACTGCGTCCAGCTTTGGAAAAGGGTTCTGGGTAGCAAGTTATGTTCCGTGCCATCTGTCCTAGATGTTCAAGATGGTACTGAAGCCAGGCTTCCGGGCCACCAACACAGCACCACTTTGGGAAGCTCACTGAAACTCTCATTAAAAACAGTGGCCTGGGACCAGCAGTTGGCGTAATGGCTGTGTCGCTGGACTCCCACATAGTCAACCGTGGTTCGCGTCCCAGACCCGGTGGCTTAAAACTCACCTCAGTCGCGTGCGCATGCGTGCCCAAGATCCCAAGAGGAGAATGGAGGAGAAGGGATTGCGGCATGGCCATCCCCCCTGGGGGGTGATTTCTCTCTTTCTGTCTCTCTGTCTCTGTCTGTCTGTCTGGTGAGCGCACATATCCTATAGCAAAAACCTCTCCAAAAAAAAGAAAAAAAAAGTAAAAAACAATGGCCTAAGGGACCAGAGGTGGCATAGTGTTTAAGGCACTGGATTCCCACATGGCTAAACATGGTTTGAGTCCTGGACCGGGAGACTTGAAATTCACACTGGGTACATGTACGTGTACACCCAAAATCCTGAGAAGGGAATGGGGGAGAAGGGTTTGCAGTGTGGCCATTACCCCCCGGGGGGAGTGATTTCTCACTTTCTCTCTCTCTCTGTCTTCAGCAAGTGCATGCTCCCTATAGCCAAAAAAAAAAAGTCTTTTTAACAACAATGACAAATGTATATATATAGCCTAGGGCCAGCAGATGGCACAGAGGTTGAGGCAGCTGAATGTTACATAACCAACTGTGGGTTCGAGTCCTGGACCTGGCAGCTTGAGAAACATGCTGGGTGTGTGTGATGCATGTCCCAAATTCCAGGAGGAGAATTAGATGGGACTGCAGTGTGGCCATCTGATTTCTTACTTTCTCTCTCTATCTGGCAAGTGCATGTGCCCTACAGGAAGAATAGAAAGAAAAAAAGGTTAATAATGATAATAATAAAGCCTACATCTTCATTGTATGTGCTCGAGAGTCAGGGAAGAAGGAAATACGTGGTCTAGAAGGGAGATTATTTGCTCTTCTGGGGTTACACTTCTGAGATTCAGAAACAGACTGCTTTCCCTAACTATACACGTGTACATGGCCAACCCAAGGTGTGAAAGGGCAGCCCCACACTTGTCAGATGTAAAGGAGAGACATACCCATGTGACAGATATTTACTGGTTGCCTTCCCAGTGTCCCTGTCCCTGTTACAACTACTGAAGACCCCAAATTCCTCAGCTATGTGGTTTGGGTGGGTTAAAATCCACCTCCAGATCCAAGGAGAGCCAATCAGTATACCCTATACTGCTGACTACAGTTCAAAGGTGAACATGTGACGCCTGTCACAAAGAGACTGAATTCTAGGACTTAGGAATGAATAATCAGAAAAGCACAACTTGTTTTTTCCTGTTGCTCATGAACAGGCTTCAGATAGATCCAGGACTTTTGACCTAATTTTATTTATCTTTATTCATGATAGAGCGTATGTGCAGTTGCATGAGAAAGAGAGAGGGAAAGTGACCAGAGCCTCCACAGGGTCTGGTCATGCCACAGTCCCCTTCCTTCAGTCCATCAGATCTCAGGTGCCTGGTGTGTTTCAGGCCAAATGGGCTGGGGATTTGAACTACGGTCAGCATGTGGGACCCAGCGTCTCTTAAGCAGCGCCTTAACACTGTGTCACACAGCCAGCCCAGATGCAGAAGTTTGGACACCCTCTTGTGATCACAGCAGGAGAGCTGCTGGAGAAAGGGGTCAGGAGCGAGTCCCTGAAGCAAGATATAACTGGACCATTTGGTTATATGAGCCAACGAGTTCACTGTTACTCTTCAACCAGTTTGGGTGAGGTTTTTAGTCACTGACCCCAGAAAGGATCCTAATCAAAAGTCCATGGAGCACTACTTGATGCTGTGAAGTATTGCTGCTCTTTGCTTTCATCACTAATTTCTCACCACTATTTTCAATTCCTTTTAGGACAGATCAATCTAGTACGACCATGGTAGAATTGAGTTGATCTGAAAAAAACCTTCCCAGTTGTATGTATGTTAGTATAAAATTCTGTTTAGCAGTTGACATTATACTTCTCCTTTTTACACACATCTTTCGAGAGGAAATTTAATCTTTTGGCTTTAAGACATGCAAAAATGTGGGCAATGATGTATTAACTCAAAGCTTTTCTTCGGTAATAGAAAGGGGGGAAATAGGGAATTTTATTATTACTAACAGATAAAAGTAACTTTCTTTTTTAAGATAGAAAGCATTGGAAACATTTAGTTTCATGACATGCCATTATTAGCCATTCTCTATCTGATTGTTAGAAATTATTCATTTCCTCAAAGAGACAGAATAAATTGGTTGGGGATACAATCTCGTACTATGCACTTGGGTTGTAAAAGGCAAACGCTGAACATTTCAGAGCCATGAGAATGCTTCTGCAGTTGGGTTTTCTGGCTCTTGGAGTTGCCTACATCCATGGGTTTGCTATAGGCAGTTCCATGAGTACAGTGGTGGCAGAGACCCTGGCTCTACTCTCGACCCATCGAACTCTGCTGACAGGCAATGAGGTAATTTTCTTTTTGATTCCTACAGCCTATAAAGTTCGTAGACAATCATGTGTGGTGGTTCACTTACCATGTATAAAGATCTATTCGAAGGAATGAAATTGCGACTATGTTAGTAATACATAGGCTATAACTACATCACTAGTAAGTATCCTCTTACAACCTATAAATGCTCAAGTGCTTTAAAAATGATTCTATTTCCTTTTCAGAGCCTGAGGATTCCTGTTCCTGCGCATAAAAATGTAAGTTAAGTTATGATTCAATAAAATGACTACGTGGTTAAGTAAAATCCGTATTTTAAGCCATAAATCATTTGAACTATTTTATTTTTTCTGTTTTGTTTTCATATGGGTAGCTGTGAATGTGTGTGCTTATAAATATTAGAAATGACTTTTGAACAAGTAGAATTTATTAAATAAGTGGGCCCAGTCCCTTGATGACGTTATTAGTTGTTCATCACAAAGAGCCTCAAGCCAAGGATTCTTCCCAAAATTCCACACCCGGTCAGAGGTGCCTGCTGGGCTCTGTTTAGCTCAGATTAGGTATGGCTTTTCTCACTCTAATGTCTCCAAAATATAAGACATACAACTTAGGGTTGTATTTCTAGAATCATGGTCAATAGACCTTACAATATATAATGAATATCCTGTATTAACAATTTCCACATATTTAAATGAATATGACTAAAAATAATGTATATATTTGGAATATGTTATGACCATATGAAAATGTAACATATATGATTTCATTAATCTAAAAAGAACTGTAAAAAAGAAAGAACTGATGTGAGTTCAATCAGTAATCGCATTACACTTTCTAAACATTTTATTTTTGGTGGGGCAGGATATATATATATATGTATATATATATCAGGATATATATAATGTTTGTATAATATATGTATAATTTCTAAAAATAAAATGTTTAGAAAGTGTAATTTTTGGTGGAGCAGGATATATATATATATATATATATATATATATCTTCAGTAATTAAACAAACTTCATCTATTTTTGGAGGTAGTTTAGTACCTGGAAGAGAAACAAACAAAAAGCTTTTTGAAGAAGAGAACTGCTATAAACATCACAAAACAAGGCCTAACTTTTTGGACCAACTTTTCTCCTCTAACTTATTTAGTTTTTAACTGAAAAATTTAAATTGAGTATATTTATTATGGACAACCCGATATTTTGAAATACGTGTAGGTTGTGGAATGGCTAAGGGACTAACATGTATTTTATGCCTGTTTTTGATTACTTACATTTTTTTCAATCTTTCTCATTTAGCACCAACTATGCACTGAAGAAATCTTTCAGGGAATAGACACACTGAAGAATCAAACCGTACAAGGAGACGCTGTGGAAAAACTATTCCGAAACTTATCTTTGTTAAAAAATTACATTGACGACCAAAAAGTAAGTTACAAACATTCAGTGGAAATGATATTCTTTCAGCCCTAGATCAACAGAATTGTCACTATCCTGCCCTCTTGTCTGTTCCTTTCACAGAAAAAGTGCGGAGAAGAAAGACGGAGAGTAAAGCAATTCCTAGAATACTTACAAGAATTTCTTGGGGTGATAAACACTGAGTGGACAATGGAGAGTTGAAAATAAACTAGTTTGTTGTAGCCGAAGATTTTGGAGGAGGAAAAGGACATTGTGTTGAAATAAGAATGAAGGTCAATGGAAGGGGAGAAGGCTTGATTTTTAGTGTAAGCTTCTGAGAAAAAGTAAACATTTCAGACATCTGGGTCCTTGACCACCATGCACAACCAGAAAACCATTAAGCATCTGAGATATATTCCAGACAGTAGAACCTCTGAAGTATGCTCCTCCAATTTGCTCCAGGCAAAATAGATATTTTCATCTTATTTAATTTAGCATTCTATAAAATGTCTGTTAACTTAATATTATTTATGAAACAATTAAGGATTTGGTAAATTAATATTTATTTCATGTTATGCTATATTCCAATAAAATACAAATAAATGACTTTGGTTCGATATACTGCTGACCTTTTCTTTCATTTGCCATAAAGCACGTGCACTCAACAAAGAGCAGACAGAGGGGGGGGGGGGGAAAAGTACTCTGGGGGAGGGAGCAGCCATTCAGCAATCCTTTCAGCGAACTCTCCTCTGCAACCCCTTCTCCTCCCCTGCATGAGCAATTCTGGGCATGTTTGTACACGTACCTGGCATGTTTCTCAAGCCGCTGGATCAGAATCGAACCACACAATGGGCCATATGGGATCTAGCTGACTTTACCACCACACCACCAGCTGGCCGAAGTCAGCACAGTCTATGTGAGTCCGTGCCAGGTTGGGAGGTGGGTCTGAGTGCGGGCATTCTACCCTCCGGTGGCAGAAACTGCAGAGTGGCTAGGCACACCGAGGGCAGAAGTGACATAGCCGGACTTGGTGGGTGTACCAGGAGCAGGGACAGGAGCAGGAACTGGACGTGGTTTCCTTTCTACACTATGCCAAGAACCTAGGATGGCGCTGGGTGAAAAGTAGGGAATTAATGAACAAAAAAAGAGCCTCCCAGAACTGGCTGTAGAGTTCAAATGAATTGCCAGGTTTCCCCTGGGAGGAGGGCTCGTGCAGGAAATTTTAACTAGGCTTCCTCGCAGCCCACGAGAGGATTTGACAGACCAGTGTTTCCGCTCCTCCACCCTGCCTGTCCAGGAGGAAGCCAGGAAGCCTCCATGTAGAGGCCCAGAGAACTGTGGCTGGTGGTGGGGCTGGGCAGTGCCTCCTCTCTCCTGATGCTGGAGAGCAACAAAAGGAGCAGAGAAGTGTGGAAAGGGAAGCTTTATGGGAAAGGCTGGGAGTAGAGGGCCACCATCCTCACTTCTCAGGGGCAGAGCAGCACCAGGCAGAACACTCCAACCTGCCTGCTTGGGATTATCCATAGCATAACAGGAGATTCCCCTGCTTGAGAAAACTTCACAAAGATCCTGATATGTTTCTTTAAATATATTCTAAAACAGGGACCAGCAGTTACCATAATGGCTATGTCGCTGGACTCCCATGTAGTCGACTGCGGTTCGAGTCTCAGACCTAGTGGCTTAGATTCACACCAGGTGCATGTGCATGTGTGCCCAAGATCCCGAGAGGAGAATGGAGAAGGGATTGCGGCGTGGCCATTCCCCCTGGGGGCTGGTTTCTCGCTTTCTGTCTCTCTGTCTCTCTCTGTCTTTCTGGCGAGCACACATGCCTTATAGGAATAAACTTCTACCAAAAAAACCAAATTATATATATATATGTATATATATGGGACAGACCCAGTAACAATATTCAACTCTGCAGTGGATCCCTTCATTCTGTCATTCAACAGGTGTTTACTGGTCACAGGCCCTATGCAGAGGGCCTGGGTTGGAGGTCCTTTGTTAATGAGTCTTTTGCAATGCTCTGATTCTCATTCCATTTAAGAGCTTACATTTTACTTAGGGTTATGGTCTGCCAGCTACACTCCATTATGAATGCATGAATTTTTGCTTGACCGTACCTGCTGTTACTGAAGTCAGATAAGCGGAAAGCTACCTGGCCAGAGTCCATCATAAGCCAGTAGGCTCTGGGCCATTGCCTCTCTCCAACTTTGACATCTGGAAGCTGAGGTAATCCATCTTCTGGGGCTACAAATGTAAGAGTTTCTGGACTATAATCTGAGCCATAGCTATCTCTCCATGACAGCACTCCTTTCGAGAATCCATTTGATACGGTCAGAAATTCTACTGGACTGGAAAATCTTGTCAGGCTGACAATATGACAGGGTTCTGATCTGGTCAAGTGTTACCTTGAGAGACCATCTCCTGGGCTAAGTGGAAGATTCTTGCCGGGCACACATGAAGTTTGGTTTGTCATTAATGAAGGGTGTTTGTGAGCTCTCCTTACTTCCCTCCTTCGTATTTATCTTTTCTTCGTGTGACTGTCTATTTGTCGGTTTTCCACTCGTGTGTGTGTTCTATAGTAAACACATTCATTTAGGAATGTTCTTTTCTCTATTTGGCCTGCCATTTGAATGATGCATATAAGATGTCGCTGGACTCCCATGTAGTCGACTGCGGTTCGAGTCTCAGACCTAGTGGCTTAGATTCACACCAGGTGCATGTGCATGTGTGCCCAAGATCCCGAGAGGAGAATGGAGAAGGGATTGCGGCGTGGCCATTCCCCCTGGGGGCTGGTTTCTCGCTTTCTGTCTCTCTGTCTCTCTCTGTCTTTCTGGCGAGCACACATGCCTTATAGGAATAAACTTCTACCAAAAAAACCAAATTATATATATATATGTATATATATGGGACAGACCCAGTAACAATATTCAACTCTGCAGTGGATCCCTTCATTCTGTCATTCAACAGGTGTTTACTGGTCACAGGCCCTATGCAGAGGGCCTGGGTTGGAGGTCCTTTGTTAATGAGTCTTTTGCAATGCTCTGATTCTCATTCCATTTAAGAGCTTACATTTTACTTAGGGTTATGGTCTGCCAGCTACACTCCATTATGAATGCATGAATTTTTGCTTGACCGTACCTGCTGTTACTGAAGTCAGATAAGCGGAAAGCTACCTGGCCAGAGTCCATCATAAGCCAGTAGGCTCTGGGCCATTGCCTCTCTCCAACTTTGACATCTGGAAGCTGAGGTAATCCATCTTCTGGGGCTACAAATGTAAGAGTTTCTGGACTATAATCTGAGCCATAGCTATCTCTCCATGACAGCACTCCTTTCGAGAATCCATTTGATACGGTCAGAAATTCTACTGGACTGGAAAATCTTGTCAGGCTGACAATATGACAGGGTTCTGATCTGGTCAAGTGTTACCTTGAGAGACCATCTCCTGGGCTAAGTGGAAGATTCTTGCCGGGCACACATGAAGTTTGGTTTGTCATTAATGAAGGGTGTTTGTGAGCTCTCCTTACTTCCCTCCTTCGTATTTATCTTTTCTTCGTGTGACTGTCTATTTGTCGGTTTTCCACTCGTGTGTGTGTTCTATAGTAAACACATTCATTTAGGAATGTTCTTTTCTCTATTTGGCCTGCCATTTGAATGATGCATATAAGAACCTGCTCTCCTTACAGAGAGGTTAAAGTTGTCATCAGGTATTCGGAAACCCCGACCATTTTCCTGACCAGTATCTATTAGATCATTGGAAAAGTCATGATGCATTTTTCTACGTTTTTCTGTGCAAAAATGCAACATGACTTTCAATGACCCAATACACTTAGTGTGCTGCATTACTCTGAACACTCCTATCACAGCTCTTGTTTTCATATTACACATTTCAAGATCCACATTATACGAATCTGTGTATATATCAGTCAGAATAGTCTAGATTATGCTGTAGTAACAAATTACCCCAGAATCCCAGTGGTGGAACACAGCAAAAGTTTCTTTATCTGTTTATAAGAAAAAGAGAGTGTGGGAAGAGGAGGAGGAGAGGCGAAAGAGAGAGAGAGTTATTCTTGAGAGGATCTTGCCTTCCAGACCCTCCTACTCTGGCCTTCCCCTTAGCCGGAACCACAGGCATGTTCCACTGTGCTTGGCCTGTTTTAGGTTGGATGAGGAACAAAACCTGGGTCTCTCGCACGGCTTCAGTCACCACACAATGACACCCTCACTGGCACCACTGTGGCTAGGCCAAAGGTTTCTTTTTTTTGATCACACAGAGACTAGTGCAGGTTTGGGCTAGACTTCAGAGCAGCAGTTCTCCGTGTGTGGGCTGTGATCCAGCGTGCTTCCATCTTTTTTTTAAATTTTATTTATTGATTCATTTATTTTAATTTGACCAGAGAGAGGCAGAGAAAGAGAGAGACAGAGGAAGTGAGAAAGCAAGCCACCAGATTCAGGACTTGAACCATGGTTGGCCATGTGGGAGTGTCCAGCACCTTAACCACCATGCCACCTGCTGGTCCCACATGCTTCCATCTTATGGTGCCTCCAAATCAACAGTTGCTTTGCAACGACCTAGGTATTTCCACTCACATCGCATCAGATAGAGTCAGAATGTCATGAGTGACTTCAAGGGGCCAGGGAGGTAGGATCCTCCCCTAAGTCCAGAATGAGAGCAGAATCAAAAATATTGGAGTGCAACAGTAATATCTAACACAATAAATCCTCACAGTTGCTCCTGAGGTTTCAATCTTTTGCCTACGGAAAGGAATAAACTACCATTTACTTTTCTAGACAACTTTATATCAATCTCTCAATTCTTATCCCAAGTCAATGAAAGACAGTGTGGTTTCTTTTTTTCTTGAACTGGAATCGAAGCCTCAGAAAGTTTAAATTATTGGCCAAGATCACACAGCTAACATAACTGGGATTCAAATCCTGGTATGTCCCATTCCAAACCTCTCATAATTTCCGAGGAAGTCTTTTGCTCTCGGTCTTAGGGATTCAGGAAAGTAGGTACAATGGCTGTCTGGCCTATCCACGCTGGCCGTTTGTCGTCCTCAGTACAGTTAGTGGTGCTGTGGGGTAGCGCCCAGACATTGGCCATTTTTTTCCTTTCTCTGCACCTGGCTATATTACTCCCTCCCCCTGAAGGCAGCCCCTGGCTAGGTTGGACCTCCAAGATAGGTATGACTCCTCACCACAGGTGTGTCATGGGCTATAGG